AAATCCCACAGGTCGTCCACTCTCCTAGCGCGGAGAGTCTGGGACAGTAACTCTCCCTCCCATATATGGGCGGACCTATGATCGCCCTGAAGCACTAATAGCTCACGAGAGTAAGGGCCGGGATGTATAGGCGGCGTGTCCATGTCGTCAACTGTAAATTAAACAACATTAATTGTATGTTTATTATTTAATTGTACAAAATATATATACCTATTGGGTTCCAGGCTCGATATTTGAGGCCGAGTAGCACCAAACTATCATAAATATATATGTGTGTCAAATTCAATATTTTGATAATTTTGTGTGTTGTTTTATAATTTAAATTCTTAAATATATATACCTATTGGGTTCCAGGCTCGATATTTGAGGCCCAGTAGCACCAAACTATCATAAATATATATGTGTGTCAAATTCAATATTTTGATAATTTTGTGTGTTGTTTTATAATTTAAATTCTTAAATATATATACCTATTGGGTTCCAGGCTCGATATTTGAGGCCCAGTAGCACCAAACTATCATGAATATTTATGTGTGTCAAATTCAATATTTTGATAATTTTGTGTGTGTTTGTTTAATAATTTAAATTCTTAATTTTTAATTATTTAAATTCTTAAATATATATATATATATATATATACCTATTGGGTTCCAGGCTCGTTATTTGAGGCCCAGTAGCACCAAACTATCATGAATATTTATGTGTGTCAAATTCAATATTTTGATTATTTAATTGTACAAAATATATATCTTCATCTACCAGTATAAGAAATACTTAAACTACAAGGATTCTACGCTAAAATACTATACAGTTTACTACGCTAAAAGTTTCTACATTTTACTACGCTAATAAATAAACTAAATGTAAACAACAAATACATTTTAATCACATAATATTCACAAAAATACATATAACATACTAGTTTCGCAAATAATATACAAAACGACATGGAAACACTAATATCTAAATTCGGATATTAACATAAAAAATTAAATTTCAATTTTACATTTATTTTAGAACACATTAATCTAAGTCCGGATAAATATAACATACTAGTTTCGCAAATAAAACACAACGACATGGAAACACATTCAATGTCGGGGAAGAAGACGAAGGGGCTATTTAATTTAAGGTATAGCGTTTTTTTTTGGACGCTATATGTATAGCATCTTCATTTCATACGCCATATGTGGCAATCAAATCGCCTGTCAGTATAGCGTATAAATAGAAGACAGCTATACATTAACAGAAAAAGTTACCGTTAAGGTATAACGTCTTGTATTTAAACGCTATACATAAATATGTAACATTTTATTTTTACACTTATTAATGTATTTTGAGTCCAAAAATACAATATTTATTTTGTTTTAATATCGTTTGTAATTTCTGAAATATTCATCGATAATAAAACTCCTAAATTTTTTACATTTCCATTTTCAACGTTTGTTCATCTTCTTGTAATACTACACTATATAATTAATAATTATTTTTGTAAACAGTAGCTTTACAAGCATTTTAGTCCTTTAAAAGAAAATTTTCTGCTTATTAAGTACATTAGATTGAATACTCTCATTCAATATGTAACTACTTATTCATAAAACCAATACGTAACAACTTATTATAAAATTTATTTCAACATGTAGACATACTTTCCAACACTTAAATTTATCTAAGTCAAATAGTCTCTATATCATTATAACGTATCGAATCGATAATCAATCCTTACATATTGGCATTGTAAAAGATAATCCCAATGGTGTGATGTGGCGCACCAAACTTTTTGGATTTTTATTTGCCTATCGACATCACAAGGCCGAAAAGTTTGTTTAACCTTTTGATTTTTGTAGCCTCCTCACTTAAATGCTTTACGAACATTTCCAAATCCTTGAATGAGTTCCCACCTTCTTTAATTCCATTCGATGCAGCTTTTCGTAGCTCAGACGCTCGTTCCCTTCGCTCAACTCCTTTCCCTTCCACAGCTTCTGCTAATAACTTAGCCAACTCATCCGAATTCGATATTGTTTTTGCACCTTCACTAGCTCTAGTTGCTACCTTATGCTCGTCAACTAAAAGGTTCGCATTTGCAAATTGGTCAGCACCCATTGGCCACGTTAACATTGGTACACCCGCAACTAAGCCTTCGAGCGTTGAGTTCCAACCACAATGAGTTAAGAATGCGCCAGCGGCTCGATGCTTTAGGATAAGGACTTGAGGGGCCCAATCTCTAATAACCAATCCCCTTCCGGCTACTTTTTCCTCAAACCAAGATGGAATCACGCCGTAATCGTTCGACACGTGTCCTTTTGTGGCCCGTTTAGCTGACCAAATGAATTTGACACCACTTTTCTCCAACGCTATTGCTAACTCCTCCATTTGCTTGTTTGTTAACACCGCTTGGCTACCAAAACAAACGTACACAACCGAGTTATCTTCACACGTGTCGAGCCACGCTAATATTTCACTAGCCAAAATAGAGCTCGAACCACCTCTGTTCGATGAACCAAAATTATTAGTATCATTTTCCTCGTGGGGAGGCAGTACTGGACCCACGGCCCAAACCCGGTCGTGGCCCAAATCTTTCATCAGATGATCTAAATACACACTTTCCAACTCCGTGAACGTGTTGACAACGAGTCCGTGACTCGCTATATCAGCAAGATAACTTTTTCTGATGAATTCTGAATTTGGGTCTCCTTTAACATAGCTACGAAAAATAGGAGACAGCTGCCACCAAGGGAATTTTGGGCAATTCGGAATATTAGGGAGTTCAAAAATCTCATTCTCATCGTTGGTATTTTTCCTTTGGGGCATTTCACTCCAAAGTGAATAAACAACTGATAAAGCCAACGCGCCAGAGGTGGAAAACACGTACCGGCGAATACCAAGCTGGGTAGCAATTTCGTGAGTGAACCCCAAAAACATATCGGAAATTATGGCCGACGGCGGCGAAGGGTGGTTGTTGAACCAGTCCAAGATGGGATCTTGAAGCTTACCTAGAGTATACATCATAGAACGGAATCCATCGGCGGGAAGATCCTTGACGTTCTCAACGCCGTCGGGAATTGAAGGGTGAGAAGGGAAAGGCAAAATAAGAGTATTAATTGATGGGTGCTGAGAAAGAAGTGGGTTTAAAATAGGAAGATTTTTGGGGGTCACTAAAATAGTAATAGCTATATCACGAATGAATAGCTGATGAGTGAAGTCTAAAAGGGGTAGCATATGGCCTTGTGCTGGATAAGGGAAGATAAGAGCATGAGGACGATTTTCAAACATCTTTCTACGTTGCAGATGAAGAAGAAGATGAAGAGGAAAGGGGAAAGTGGTTCAACTTTTAAGGACAAGAACAAATGTATTGTCTTTTGGGATTTCTTTTTTCTTTTTTCCGCTTTATGAAGTTGAGGGAAATATCCTACTGGTATCTTTTTCTTTGTGCTTTTTTTATATAGATTTCGGGGGAGACAAAGGTTTGACTTGATAAGCTATTAGTTGACCGACCATATTCAACTAACTATACTTATTTTTTCCACTGTTGACTACTGTATTTTGTGAATCTTTTGCAATAGATTTTTTTCTCTAATAAGGAAAAATATATATATATTGCTTAGAAAGGAAAAATTACTACTTACCTACCATAAAAGATTCTCACCATTCACAGTTAAAAACTGAAAGATTACATTGATATTTTTCCATGACTATATTTGGTATCAAAGTTAAGTTTGCAATCTTTCATGTGTCAATCTGACGTGTCTTTTTTGTTTTTTTACTTATGAGGAGAGTATTATGGAAATTTTACAAATATGAAACCTATAGTCTTAAAATTGAAAGATGAAAGGATAGTGAACTTTTTGCAATAATCAATTTCTCTATTAAGGAAAAAATGATATTATTGCTTAAATTTTTAAATTTGAACGATGAAAGGATAGTGAACCTTTTGCAATAATCTTTTTCTCTGTTAAGGAAAAACTGTTACTATTGCTTAAAGTGAAAAATCTACTAATTACATTCCATAAAAGATTCTCATCATTCATAGCTATATACTAAAACTGAGAAGATTACATATACTACTATATTTTCCATGACTATATTTGATATCAAGGTTAAGTTAAGTGTGCAATCTTTCGTGTATCAATCCGACGTGTCGTTTTTGTTTTTTACTTTTGAGGAGTTATTGTTACGGAATTTACAAATTTGGAACCTACATTCTAAAATTTGAACGATGAAAGGATATTGTCTGTAACTCAAGATTTTGCTTCGTAAGTTTCGGATTAACTGAAAATAGATGCGGTTTGAAATCACTTTGAAATTTATGTGAAGTTACTTACTATATTATTCATAAGACAACGATCCAGCCAAGCAATTTCAATTTTTAAAGGAATGATAATGTAGATAATAATAATTATTCGATAAAAAAAAACACCCTTGCATAAAGAAATTCCATGCATAAATATTTGATTCTTTTTCATATTATTACATCGCCAATCAATCAAAATATGTTATGGTTTAGATATAGCTGTCACTTATTACTTAGCATATCTGTTTTTTTTTTTGGTCAAAAGGAAGAACATATATTATAGATAAGAGTACTAGTACATCAAACGTGATCCAACCTAGGCATCATAGTAGCTAGAGTAGAATGCATAATAGGAACTCCAGGTGTCCCCGCATGGGGAGCACTACTAGGTACTAAGTCATAATTTAGATATTACATTAGTATTATAAATACTAGTTATAGAAGGGAGCGACTGTGTCGAAACAGGTACAAGCCTCCTTTGTTGGGTGCCTTGTTGATCTTGCTGTAGATAAGGTGTAACAAAAGGTGGTGGTTGTGCAAAAAGTATGCAGGTAGACGCTGCATTCCTGGATCCATATTTAGTTAAACTGTCAGCAACACAATTCTGATCTCTCTATATATGCTGGATGGGTGGGCTACCCAGTTGTAGAAGTAACAACCTGCAATCATTGATAATGTTAGTATAATGCATAGAAGATATTTGAAACATACCGATGAGTTGTTGGGCATCTGTTTCGATCACAAGTGGTGTCAGATTCTTTTGCAACGCTATTTTCAATCTCATGAGGAGTGCAAATAGTTTTGTCTGTATGCTGGTACCTTATTTTGACTGTCCTGCAAAGCCCATAACCCAACTGCCTTGGTGGCTTCGAAATACTCCACCAATGCCACATTGTTTATGGAAAAAATGAAGTAGAGCCATCTATATTTAGTTTATAGCAATTTTCAGCTGGCGGATGCCATTTAAATATATAGAGGTATGGATTGGCAATCCTTTTTTCTCAGTTTGTGACTCGTTAAGTAATAATATTCTGCTGTAGTAGTAATTAGTAATTGAATATTTAATGGAAGTCGTTTATTTTTCAACCTGTGTTTGTTCCGTAGAAGCCAGATATGCCATAGGGCAAAAGGTATGAATATAGTAGATGGGATGTGATGGGGGTTGGGTGATAGATGTGTATGAACAATGTCATACAACTAAGTGGTAGAATCCATTGGAAATGTAGTAGTGCACGAAAGTGGGAGCGATAGGTTGAGATATTTTCATAACTGGATTGCATTAGGGCAACAGAAAAATACATGTTGTATTGTTTCAGGTGCCAAATGGCACTATGTACATATAGATGATGCTAAAATACCTAAATGGGAAAGGTATGCAGCAGTGGGAAGTTTATTATGGGAAATTAACCAAAGAAAGAAGGACATTTTTGGTGGAATGTTCAAATTCCAAATCCAATTGTAAGAAGAAAGTTGGCAATGTTTTCAAATGCCAAGTCCGGTTATAGTAGTAATTTGAAACTAGTTTTTTCTCCTCATATTTAGGTAATGGTCCAGTGATACAATTGCGGGGTGTGAAATTTGGTTTGATCCAAGGATCAGACCAAAAATGCGCATGGTTGCCATTGGTAAGGTTCCATTGATACCCTAAGTGACAATACAACCAATCCCGCATTATGTTTCTCCAAGTGGATGAGATGGTTTTTTTATAAGATTTTTTGGACGTAGATATATATGCAACAGTACTTGTGCCCAAAGTTGATTAGGATTTTTAAAAAGTCGCCATGCAAGACTTGCGTGTGATGATTTATTTTTAATGGAGAGATTTTGAATTTCTAATCCGCCTTGATGTAGTGGTTGGGTTACAGTATTCCACTTTATAAGATATAATTTTTTCTTTTGCAAAGTTGTGCCCCAAAGAAAAGTTCGTTGATAGCGAGTAAGATGTGAAAGTATAGAGGTAGGTATTGTGTTATATTGCATAAGATTGTTTGGTAGTTGGTTGAGGGTAGAGCGGATGAGTGTTGTTCTACCTGCTTTTGATAAAAATTTTATTTTCCAACCCGCTAGTTTATTTTTGAAATTATGAAGCAAAAATTGGTAATCACTTTTTGAAGGCGGTTTTGTAAAGATTGGAAATCCTAAATACCTTCCAAAGGTTTTCCCTTCCTTCATATGAAATAGTTGGAGGACTGTTTGTCTAGTTGGGTCTGGACAGTTTTTTGAGAAGAAAATATTAGATTTCTGGAAATTTATAGTTTGTCCTGAGTGAGTGGTAAAGTTAGCAAGAGTATCAACAATTGAATTACACGTAGCAGGAGTAATTTTTGCTATGAGAAAAATGTCATCAGCAAACAATAAGTGAGATAGTTGAGGTCCCCTTTTAGCAAGGGTGATGGGTTGCCAAGAGTGATAATCAACCTATGTGTGGATTGTGCGCGAGAGCATTTCAAGACAAAGGATAAACAGATATGGAGATAATGGGTCTCCTTGTCTTAGGCCTCTGGTAGGCATGAAATATGCAGATGGGTTGCCATTGATAATTATGGCTGTAGATGTAGTAGTGATACATGACATAATTAATTGAGTAAATGTTGGAGAAAATTGAAGGGTAACAAGAGTGTAATAAATGAAAGACCATTCCAATTTATCGAAAGTTTTTTCAAGATCCAATTTTATAAGCATATTAGAATTGTTACCTTTCATTTTTTGGAATCTTGTGATTATTTCCTGAACTATAAGTGCATTATCTGCAGCTCGTTGATTTTTCTGGAAGCTAGATTGAGTAGGATTAATAAGATGTTCCAGCATTGGTTTAAGCCTATTGGCAATAATTTTTGTAATAAGCTTATAAATAGTATTACAAAGACTGATAGGCCGATATTGGAAAATAGAAGATACATGTTTATTCTTAAGGATTAGGCAAATTAGAGTATTATTAATGTTAGGGTCTATCTTGTGGTCTTGGAAAACCTTATGGCAAAAATATTTTACTGAATTACCAATGATATGCCAATATTTTTGATAAAAGAAAGGGTGTAATCCATCTGGACCTGGAGCCTTTAATGGTTTAAAAGAATGTAATGCATTGATGATTTCATGATCTTGGAGGGGTTTGGTTAAGGGATTTTGTTCCTGCAGAGTAAGAACATTGGAAGGTTGGATTAGATGATGTCGATTTGAGCAAAAAATTTGTGTCTTAAAGAGAGATTGATAATAATTGATAATATTTAGTTTAACAATTTGAGGGTCAGTGATCCAATTGCCCCCTTGATCTTGTAGAGCAGTTATATGATTATGTCTACGACGATTTAAAGTGGATAGGTGGAAAATTTTTGTATTGGCATCTCCATCATTTAACCAGTTAATACGGACTTGAGTTTCCAAAATTCCTCTTCAAGTTTTAAGATGGCATTAAAGTCATATTTTAATTGACTTTCCAAATTTTATAAAAATGCACTAGTAGGATAATTAGAGGAAGACTGAATACCCCCAAAACGAGCCAATATTTTTTGCTTACGTGTAAAGATATTTCCAAAAGTAGAGTTATTCCATTCTTGTACAATTTTAGTGAAATTTTCAATTGTTGGGAGTAATTGCAGATTATTATTCCAGGCTTGTTGGACTAGGGAAGGGAAGGTAGGATGTGTAGCCCAGATAGTTTCAAAGCAAAAAAAATTTTGACGAGGGAGAGGGCAGTGTTCAAGTTCTAGTAATAGTGGACAGTGATCAGAATGTGTCAGTGGTAAATGTGTGACAAATGCATTGGGGTAAAGCCTAAGCCAGTCATAATTTGCTAAGAAGCGATCAATACGTTCGAGAATATTATGACGATTATGACGACCGTTTGTCCAAGTATAACGACTACCTTTATAGCCTAAATTAGTAAAGTGACAATAATTTATGCAATCTATAAACTTGTTGGACCTTGAAATATTAATTTGTTGGCCTCCAAATTTATCATTGGCATGAATGATGTCATTAAAATCCCCCCTATAAGCCAAGGTCCCTTATAATGATCATGCATGCACATAATGTTATTCCAAAGAATATGTCTATTATCTAAATCATTACTTGTATAAATTGCAGTAAATAGCCACTTTAGAGTAGAGGGGTGTACCTGGATGTGACAGTGTATCTCTTGGCGTGTGGATGCCACTAATTCTACTGTGAGTGCATCACTAAACCATAAAATTGCTATGCCTCCCGACTGGCCAATAGCAGCTTCGTCAAGTAGTCCGGTGAAATTGAACTCTTCTTTC